GAGGGTCAGGATTCAGTTAAAAGAATGCTAACCCTTGCCCTAGTGCAAACATACCTCCACAAGAGGCGTATGTATAGACTCTTAAAAGATAAAAGAGACCTGGGCATGAGTCAGAGCACTGTCGGGGGCTACTACCTGAGTAGGTTGACCAGTGGCTGAAGGCCCACAGGCAAGCAAGATCAAGAGGAACTGAGGTGCTATAGATTTCCACTAGACTTTAAATTCAGTATGTCCAAAGTAGAACCGGTTGTTCCCTTCGCTCCTACACCTACAGTCTTTCCCACCTTAATTGGTGAGATTAAAAAAAAATCTTGATTCATCGAGCCCTCCTTTCACCCAAATATATTCCATCAGGAAACTTTATGGGTATCTTCAAAATATATCTCTTTTTTTTTAAGAGAGAGAGAGAATTTTTAATATTTAAGTTTTCAGTGGACACAACATCTTTATTTGTAAATAAATAAAGAACATCTTAAGAAGTTCCTCTGCATCTTGCTGCAGCCCAACTGCACTTCTGCCTTAGCACCTTGGCTATTCTAATGCTTAAAATGCTTTTTTTCTAAATAACCAGAGAGCTAACTCCCTCACCTTCAAATCTTTCCACTGAGAAGTTTTGAAATTCTCATAACAACTTAAAATTACAACTGATACTCTCCTCAACCACCCCATATACGATTCCAGTTTTCCAAAATCTTCTTACCTGTTAACCTTCTCTGACACCCACACCCATGGGGCTTACTGCCTTCAAACATACTAATATATTTCTTTATATGTTTAATGTTGACTGTTTCCCCTGCTAAAATACAAGCTTTAAAAACCAGAATTAGCCAGGTGTGGTGGTGCACACCTGTAATCTCAGTAATTCAGGAGGCTGAGACAGGAGGATCAGGAGTTCAAAGCCAGCCTCAGCAACAGCAAGGCGCTAAGCAACTCAGTGATATCCTGTCTCTAAATAAAATACAAAAATAGGGCTGGTGATGTGGCTCAGTGGTTGAGTGCCCCTGAGTTCAATCCCTGGTACCAAAAAATAAAAAACAAACAAACAAATAACCAGAATCTTTGGAACCATGCCCTGACATAATAAATTTCAATATATATTTGTCAGATGAATTTCCAACCTGCCTGTCTTCAGTCTAGGTTCCTTTTCTTGATTATTCAATCAGTTAAAATGGAGAGATATACAATAGCTTTCCCTTTTATTTGATAGCTTTTCCTACGGTGTTAATATGATAGCTATCAAATATTTCTGGATGAGGTATTATTGAAATTCTTAATATCCCTCTATAATGGCAAAATCCCAAAATTCATGAATGATCCAAATATCTCCACTAGTAGACTGCTTAATTCATTTCTGTCCCATATATGTACATGCATCTCTTTTAACTCTATGACATTGTAATTATTCATTCACTTGTCTACGTGCTTTATTGAACTATGAGCTCTCTGAAGGCAAAGCTTGTTTTGCTGGATGTGTATCCCTAGTAGACAGGCGCATTATAGGTGCTTGGTGGTGTTTCTTAAATGAAAGAGTGAGTGGATGGTTAGAGTTTCTATGGGATTTGTCAAGGGGGCATGCCCTGTCCAGCTGATAAAAGCAGCTGGTCCACTCAGTACTTCTTTCCCTCTAGTATAGATGAAAGCTTGAGACCCTTCATAGTTGAAATCTTTGGTCAAGATCGCACCATTATCAATGCTTACTAAGCAATCTTGTAATTTTAAGTTGATTCTCTAAATACAGAGAAAACACTGATCTCACAACTACTAGTAGTCTGTTTGCCAGTTAGAGTTCCTCATGTAAATTAATATATCGCACCTTTTTAAAAAAATTTTATAGTTGTAGATGGACAACATGCCTTTATTTAATTGATTATTATTTTTTAATGTAGTGCTTAGGATCAAACCCAGTGCCTCATACATACTAGGCAAGTACTCTGCCACTGAGCTACAGCCCCTAATATATTGCATCTTAACATTAACTTATTCTTAAGAAAACACTGGAGGGGCTGGGGATGTGGCTTAAGCGGTAGCACGCTCACCTGGCATGCGTGTGGTCCGGGTTCGAACCTCAGCACCAAATACAACTAAAAAATAAATATTAAAATATTCTCTCTCTCTCTCTCTTAAAAAAAAAAAAAAAGAAAACACTGGAGAAACAAAAACTCTTGACTTCAACTTCCCCCTTCCAGCTACCCTATCATTTTGTTGTTGTTGTTCCTTTACAATAAATACCCTTGAGTTTTATATTCATTGTCCCAGTTCCTTTCTTCCATTTTCTATTAAATCTACCTCAACTGGCTCTGGCACCCAGCATTCCACTGAAAGTACTCTCAGTGTTGCTGAATCCAGTGGCTGATTCCAGTCTCCATCTCACTTGGCCTGTCAGCAGCATTTCACACAACTGATGGCTCCCTCCTTCCTGGACATTGTCTTCCCTTACTTTGCAGTACACTTCACTCTCCTGGTTTCAGTCCTATACTGGTGACTATTCTCAATCTCCTTTGTTTATTGAGAAGGACTTTTGTCTCTCTGTCTCTCTTTTTCCTTTGCAGTGTCCTTAATATCTAGAAGAGTGCCTGGTGTATAGTCATTACTCAAATGTTTGTTGGATGAATGTAATTGAAATTCTAGATTTCATCTCTTGGGCATTTAGTTTGCACAAGCATGTCTTTCTTAGGCTGATTGTGTCTGGTGCATCTGTAAATACTGGGTTTCTTTTTTAAAAATTATTTATTTATTTATTTTTATGTGGTGCCTTGAACATGCTAGGTGAGCACTCCACCGCTGAGCCACAACCCCAGCCCCTAAATAGCGGGTTTCTGTATTGTGGGCTTTTCTAAAAGATTTTGTTGTTAGATGCCTGCCTCTCTGGGTGGAGTCTACAAGATAAGGAGAGGAGAAGTGAAAGATTGTTTTTTCCTTATCTTTGTTGTATGAGGTGGATTTTTAAAAAATTAATAACTCAAATTTAAATTATTTCTAAATGGATAGAAATTTAGTTCTACTTTGTCTGACGAGTTTGTGGGTGTGTGCTTCTTTGATGTGTATGTGTCCTATGTTTGTGTGTGTATGTCTGATGGGACAGTGCCTTTCAAATTGTAGTTAGGAATAGTTTGTTTCCAATCTACAAAAAGACCAAGTACAGAAACATCTATCATCTTTAATAGTAATTTGACAGAATATTTTTATGTCTTAAAATAAATAATACAAATTGCAGGCTTATGTTTTCTATTCTTTGCATTTAAAATATTTTCTCTGGCAATTCATTTTTTATTGAATTTTACAAAAGTATTTGTTGGTCATTGGAAATTTAAAAAATTTGGTCCTTCCCAACTGTCTTAGAAACATTGGTTTTGGGTATGAAGGAAATGCTACAGGATAAAAATATTTGAGAATTATTGTGATAGAACAATCAGAAAATGGCCAAAACTACATTTTCTGACTATCCTTTCCACTCCACAGTTATATCCATGAGAAATTAGATGTAGAAAGAACAGAAGCACATTAAGTCTTCACTGCCTGTCCTGCCTAATTAAGTTGTTTACAACATACTCCTCTTCCTCCACCCTGACCCTTCAATAAAGCACCTGGAAAGAACCCAAAGAAAACAGTAGTATTTTCCAAGAAGCCATGGGAAAAATGGTATTTTCCAGGAAGCATTGGTAACCCTGACAAGGTGGAGACATTGAACTCTGCAAAGATAACAAGCTTACTTTTTTTGTAATCCCACCCAAATTCTACATTTCTGACTGTACTATTCTCATATAAATGTTGTTAGTCACATATCCAAAGCATTACATTAGTCTAATCACCCAAAATCAGTGAGGCTCTTGCCTTTTTAACTGGCTTATTAGGTTCTGACTCCTTTCTTTTTGGGCTTTATGCCCATGCTTTCTAATGCTTATTAAAGAAGAGTGAATAAAAATATACATTAAATGTCTTTTGGGGCTTAAAAACTGGTGCTTTACTGTGATAAAAGTAAAGAACAGTTTCTCATAGGATGTATTCTAAGTTCCCAAGAGCATTTCTTGTTAAGTAACATTTCTTTCAATATATGAATAAAAATGATAAAATGGTCAGTAATTCTGCCAGTCTAAATGCAGAAGTTCATACCCATCTTCCTAAAACTCTTCTGTGTTGGTTTTCCTTCAGTTATGAATGTCGTCGTGGTAACCCTGGAAAACAGAACAGAGCAGACGCATGCCCTAACATGACCTAAGCTCAGGTACAGGAAACAGTGGTTCAAACCATGCCGGAAGCAGCATCCTATCACCACAGACTGAAAGGCTATCACAGCATGGTAAACTTACAAGGTAGAAGTTCTTGTGTTTCCTAAAACTAATCTTTTTCAGCTGTCCAATACTTACTGGGTAGTTTTCATGTTCTCCATTTTTCTCACACAAAGGCACATATCCATCAATAGCATCCAAAGATGGAGAGAAGGGAGTTCTGTATTTTCAAAACCTCTTCCAAAGATTTTTAGTTCTGTATTTTTAAAACTTCTTCCCACCTTCCCCTTTTTGCAAGCATTTATGAAGGGATTTCTTATTTATATGTGTAAGAATAATGGGACAGGGAAGAATAACATTTTGTTTGCTATTGTTTTTTTACCTTAAGCTTGGTTTTTTTCCTATGACAATGAGACTGTAAAATATTACCTCTCTTTTCAGGATCTGTCCTCCAGCTTTATGAAGGTATAATTGACAAAAATTGTATATATTTACAATATGTAATGTTATGTTTTGATATACTCATACATATATTATTAAATGATCCAATCAAGTAATGTTTTCATCATCAAACACACTATTTTTTGTGATGAGAACATTTAAGATTCACTTTCTTAGCAATTTAATATATATATATATATATATATATATATATATATATATATATATATATATAATATATTTATATTTAGTTGTTGATGGACCTTTATTTTAATTATTTATATGTGGTGCTGATAATCAAAACCAGTGCCTCACACATGCTAGGCAAGTGCTCCACCACTGAGCTATAACCCCAGCCCTTTCTTAGCAAGTTTTGAGTGGACAATACATTATCATTTACTATAGTCACCATTCTATACAAATAGATCTCTAGAGCCAAGAATAAGTCTTCTCATTTATATAAATTCTTAGGCAGCAAATGAGAATAAAAATTCAATGTCATGATTGTTCATAACCTTTTTTTTGGTGTAGATTTTTCTTAGCAAGGAATCTAGTCATGTTGACTGGATTCTTATAGTCTATTATTTGATATACTTTTTAAAAAGCCTGTCAAACATGACAATGGTACAGTGTGTGTGCTTGTGTATATCATACCTGTTACCTTGTTACCACTTCCAGGAAATGTCTTCTTGCCAACAGGACTTAGAGGAGGACACAACATCTATGTATTTTAGTCAACTTTTTCACTGCTATGACTAAAAGATCTGACAAGAACAATTTTTTTCTTTTTCTTTTTTTTTACCATATGATTTATTTTTTTTAGTCATACATGACAGCAGAATGTATTTTGACATATAATACATACATGGAATGTACATACATCAATCATATTGTCTATTCTAGTCTGCTGCCCTTCCTATCCTCCTACCCCTCCCCTCCTCTCCCATCCTTTCTCTCTATCCAATTTAATGTGACACACTTTTTTTTCTGACAAGAACAATTTTAATGGGGCAAAGTTCATTTGAGGGTTCATGGTTTCAGAGGTTTCGGTCCATAGATAGCCTGCTCCATTCCTCAGGGTTTGAGGTGAGGCAGAACATCATGGCAGAAGGTGTGACAGAGGGAAGCAGTGATGATCAGGAAACAGAGAAACTCCACTGCCAGATACAAAATATACACCCCAAAGGCACACCCAGAGACCCACATCCTTCAGCCTCACCCTACCTGCCTTCAGTTACCAATCAGGGGATTGATTGATTGGGTTAAGGATCTCATAACCCAATCATTTCTGCTCTGAATGTTCTTGCATTGTTTTACACATGATCTTCTGGGAGACACCTCACATCCAAACTATAATATCTATAGCTCTCCTGTAAAAGCAAAAAAAAAAAACAAAAAAAACCACAAAATTATCATTAGTGTTTTATATTTGAAGATCAGAAAAAAAAAACTCTATTCCATAGCAACCTATTGGTCAGAACAGATACATTCACAGTTCTGAGATCTGTTTAAGAGAACCCTTAGTGTATATATATTCTCAAACTATGAATAAGGATTATAAATGGTGAAATGAAATTGAATTTGCTAGGTTCTCGTATGCTTCCAGCCCTCGATTTTAATAGTACTGCTTCTTAATCAAAGTTCATAATCTCCCGAACTAGACTGTGATCTTCTAGAATAGACTACCCTTTTTGTCCCTCTTTTCTTTCAGTACAATGACCCTGGCCAGGTTTACAGACTGAACTCGAAAATACTGTTATCTAGTATGTTACTGTCTGATACTGTGTAGATGTTACTGTTTCATATCTACTCTGTGGCATAATACTAAGTAGTTTTGTTATTGTGGTTTTGAGCTGAGCCAGTAGAATGCTTTTGTAATTGTGTGTCAGAGTTTCTGGTGCTTTTTCCAGGAAGCTGGAACTGAATTATTTTCAGAACTTTTATATAACTTAGTCTATCATCTTTAGTCCAAGATTAAACAAATACCGTATGTGCCTATGGCCTACATTATACAAAATGTGAAAGGGTTATAGCTGAAACACTCCCTAAGTGGCTTTCTGCGGCCAAGAATACTTTCTGGAATTATCCAAAATATATGATGAAGCCAAAAGAGGTTTTTAAACACACCCTTTCTTCCCCTTAGGGTTTTCCCTAAGTCATCCCTTCCCTGTCAGAGCTTGCTGCACACACAGAGGCACAGCACTTGACAGGTGTTAGGAGCTACATTAGCCACTCATGTAGTTGTCTAACCCACTAGACTTTGTAAGTGCCTCAAGACCAGGAACCCTCCCCTTACCTCAATACCTCTTCTGGGCCTGTTTTTTGACCTGAACAGAGGGGAAAAAAACCCACAGGACCCAAAAGACTGAAATAAGTAGTCTAAGTGGAGCAGAGAGAGCAGCCACAGCTTGGGGTGACATAACAGAGCAGTCATGGAAGACCCATGGTGAAGATGTGTTCTCATATTCTTACAGGTGAGAAATTTCAGACATCCCTCATTTTATTGTGCTTCTCAAATATTGTGGGCTTTCTGTGTTTATTTTACAAATTGTAGCAAACCCATGTCAAGCAAGCCTGTTCAAACCATTTTTTCATGTGTCTGGGTCAAATGTTGGTAATTTTAACAATATTTCAAGTTTTTCCATTATTATTATTTCTGCTGCAGTGATCCATGATTAATGATCTTTGATGTTACTGCTGTAGTTTTTTGGGGGCACCATGAATGTCCATCACATAACAGGCCAACTGAGTCAGTAGGCCTTGCCTATGTTCTGACTGCTTCACTGACTGTTATTCATTCCCCATTCCTCTTCCTCTCCTTGAGCCTCCCTATTCCCTAAGACACAACAACATTAAAAAGAGTTCAATTAATAACCCATAAAGGCCTGTAAGCGTTCCAAAGAAAGGTAGAGGTTCAGGTCTCTCACTTTAAATAAAAAACTAGAAGTGATTAAATTTAGTGAGGAATACAAACCAAAAGCTGAGAAAGGTTGAAAGCCAAGTCTCTGGTGGCAAACAGTTAGCCTAGCTGTGAATGCAAAGGAAAGTTCTTGAAGGAAATTAAAAGCGCTACTCCAATGAACACACAAGTGATTTAAAAAAAATTTTTTTAAAAAAAAGCAAATAGCTTATTGCTGATGTTGAGAAAGTTTTAGTGGTCTAGATAGAAGATGAAACCAGCCACAACACTCCTTTCACCAAAGCCTCACCCAGAGCAAAACCAGCTCTCTTCAAATCTGTGAAGGTGGAGAGAGGTGAGGAAGCTGCAGAAGAGAAGTTTGAAGCTAGCAGAAGTTGATTCCTGAGGTTTAAGGAAAGAAGCCAAATCCATAACATAAGGTACAAAATGAAGCATCAAGTGCTGATGCAGAAGCTGCAGCAAGTTACCCAGAAGATAACTAATGAAGGTGGCTAAACTCATGTAGATGAAATAGCCGTCTATTGGAAGAAGGCACCTAGGACTTTAATAGCTAGAGAGAAGTCATGCCTGGCTTTGAAGCTTCAAAGGACAGGCTTTCTTGTTGGGGGTAATCCAGTTAATGACTTTTAAATTGAAGCTAGTGCTTACTTCCCATTTACCAAATCCTAGGTCCTTAAGAATTATACTACATCTACTCTGCCTGTGCTTTATAAATGGAGCAAGCCTAGATGAATTTTAAGCCCATTGTTGAGACCTACTCCTCAGAGAAAAAAAAAATTATTTTCTTCTCCTCCTTCTCCTCCTCCTCCTCCTCCTTCTTCTTTTTTCAGATGGGGTCTCACTATTTTGCCCAGTCTGGTTTCAAACTTGTGAGCTCATGAACTCATGAACTCAAGTGACACTTTCTTCTTGGCCTCCCAAGAAGCTGGGACTACAGGCATGTACTACCTCGCATAGCTAAAAATAGATTCTTTAAAAAATATTACTGCTCATTGACAATGCACCTTGTCTCCCAAGAGTTCTGATGGAGCTATATGAGATTAATGTTGTTTTCATGTCTGCTAACACAACATCCATTCTGTAGCTATATATCAAGAAATAATTTTTACTTTCAAGTCTTATTATGAAATTCATTTTATAAGGTGATAGCTGTCATAGATAGTCATTCTTCTGATGGATTTGAGCAAAGTAAATTGAAAACCTTCTGGGAAAGATTTATCATTCTAGGTGCCATGAAGAACATTTGTGATTCATGGAAGGAGGTCAAAATACCAGCACCAACATAAGTTGATTCCATTAACATGAGGGTAACCCTCATGGATTGCATTGAGGGGTTTGAGACTTCAGTGGGGGCATAATAGCAGATGTAGCAGAAATAGCGAGAGAACTAGAATTAGAAGCAGAGTTTAAAGACATAACTGAATTGCTACCATCTCATAATAAGACTTTTGTGGGTGAGGAATTGCTTTTTATAGATGAGCAAAGAAAGTGATTTCTTGGTGAAGATGCTGTGAACATTGTTGAAACAACAACAAAATACTTAGAATGATAACTAAAATTTGTTAATAAAACAGTAAGTAGCAGGGTTTAAAAAGATTGATTCCAATTTTGAAAAAAGTGCCAATTGGATAATATGGTACCAAATTCCATTGCATGCTATGGAGAAAACTCTTTTGAAAGAAGAGTCATTCAATGTGAAAGATTTCACTCTTGTCTTATTTTAAGAAATTGCCACAGTCATGCATCATTCAGTAACCCACCACCCAATCAGTCGGCAGCCCTCAACAGATCCTCCATCAGCAAAATGATTATGGTTCACTGAAGGCTCAGAAGATCATTTGCAATAAAGGATCCTTTCAAATAAGGCATGTCCATTGTTTGTTAGACACCAGTGTCATTTACACTTAATAAACTATAGTATAGTATAAATATAAGTTTTATCAATCAATCTGTGATTTGTTTTATTGTGATATTAGCTTTATTGTGGTGGTCTAGAACTGAAACTCCAGTATCTCTGAGATATGCCTATGTTAAATGACAACTGAGGATTTTTTCCCCAAAACGAATAAAGTACAATGTGTTACCTACAGAACTTACAGACATGAAGTTTTCTTTACTTATTTGAAATTTCTCTTAAAAAGGGAAAAATAGTAGTAATCATGTAATAAGAATATTGGGAGAATGAAATGAAAAGACCCACATACATCATTTAACACTGTCTCTGGTACATGGGAAGTGATTAGTGATATTGGATATTATCATAATTCATAGCATCTAATTAAAATAGAGCTTTCTTATGTCACTAAGAAAAATTAATTGCCATTTAAACTTTGACATGATGATTTCTTATCACCAAAATTATTTTATATTAATTGAAAAACTTTTAGACTTATTTAGGCAGATTTTTAAATCATATTTCTTTCCTATGTTATATATAAAAAGTCAAATCATTTCAAGTATTTTAAGATACTAAAAGTCCTAAAGAACTTATGTTCAGAGTCTAATTCCTCTAAATCATTTTTCTTTGCAGAGACATTGATTTCTGTTTTGTTTTTTTTCCCCCTCATGGTGGTGTTGTCTGTCACATTAGGAGTGTTGGAAATAAGAAACGCAGCATTTCTAAAATGTGCCCCTCTTCTGGATCCCAGATTCTCTCTCAAACCACTAACACCCACTCTCCTTGTGCTTGCTCCATCTTACCAGAAAGTATCAATGGAAGTTTTTAGACAACAAATACATTCATATCCGCCCCCCCACCCCGAACCCTCCCCCAACCCTCCCTGCACCCCCCCGCCAAATTCCTGCTCTTCACCTCCTAACCTGTTTCTTCTTCTCATTTCTTAACCCCATGATTGCAGTTCTTCAGGACAAAAATCCCTGGAGTCCTCCTTGGATCTTTTCTGTCTCTTACACCCCATATCCAATTCAATGAGGCTTTAAATCCAGAATCTGCCCTCCTCTGCTGCTACTGTTCTGGCCTGTGGCCTTACCATCTCTTCATCTCTTGCCTATAATTATCTCTTAACAGGTTTTTCTGCTTTCATGTTGGCCCCGCTACAATCCTGTTCTCAACACAGTGGCCAGAGCAAATCTTGCAGTACTCAGTCAGACCATATTTCCCCTCTACTAAAAAACCATTCCCATTTCACTTACAGTGAAAGTGTTTGCAATGGCCCCCAGGTCTACAAAATTGAGGCTCCCTGATTCCCCTTTCTCCGTCTTTCCTCATGTCTGTTGCATGTTGCTCCATACTTCGCTGGCTGTTTCTCAGTCTTTCAAGGTTTGTCCTTCCCATGGGGTCTTTGTGCTAGCTCTTCCCTCTTCCAGGTATCCTCCTCCTCTAGGCCTGCACAGTTAGCTCCCTCATCTTCTTCTAGACTTTGCTCAAATCTCATGTCCTCATCAAAGCCTACTTTGACCACCCTGTTAAAGACTGCAATCTGAACCTCTTCCAGCCCCAGTACACCTCATTCCCTCTAAGCTATTCTGTATTTTCCTTATCCCAGTATATAATATACTATATACTATAAAATTTACTTATGTATGATGGTTTATTGTTTATTATGTCTTTCCTCAGAAGGGTAGAAGCATTTTGATTTGTCCACTGATATTCCTGAGTGCTTGAAACAGTACCTTATAGGCATTCAAATACGTTTCATAAATCACACCGAATTGTGATAGGCCCTATGACTGAGGCCACACAAGTGCCATGGGGATATAGAGATAGCCCACACAAAAAGGAGGTTAAGAGAGACTGAGAGTCAATGCCTCAGTTGAACTTTTAAGAATTAAAGGCTGAGGCTGGTAAAAGAACTAACAATGAAATCAAAGGTGCAAATATTCCCTTGGTGTCTTATAGCTGGGCCTGCTATAACAAAATACCTTAAACTGGATGATTTAAACAACAAATGTTTACTCCTCACAGTTCCAGAAGTCCACAGCTCTAAGATTCTGCTAGCCAGAATAGCAGTTAAAGAAGTTTACACTCAATATCTTTAGAAGGAAATTCTATGATAGAGGTTTTTCTCCTTGGAAGTATTCTTTTAGTGTATACCAGGGATTGTATTCAGAGTTAAAGTGTTTGCTATATTAGTACCTGGAATGAGACATAGACCTATTCTTGAATCAGCTTCTTAACTTATGATGTATGATTTATGTGTTTTTAACAATAGGTGCCATCTGCTAGCTTCATATGTAAGTAATTATTCTTGATAATTAGATGTCAAGCTTAGTTGTTTTTAGCTGCTGGAGGATTGTATATACTGTCAACATGAAAATATAACACATTTTAGAACTGTGCATTCTTGAAAATGTTTGCCTGTGACCTTTAAATTTCAATGGGTTGGTGCTAAGTCCCTCTTCCTTCCCAGTTTTGACTCTGCTTATAGAATGGCCTAAACTCAGTCCCTCCCTGGCACACAGTAATCAAAATACATTGTTTAAATGACTGAATCAAATAAATTTTGATCCAGAAGAAACATAGTGTAAGTCTTAAGGACTTGTGAAAACAGAACTTAATGCACTGTTTTGTGCCTGTGAAATAGGGTTCATCATAGTATTGACCTCAGTCTTTATGAGTGAATGTCATATGAATTACTCATGTAAAGTCTTTGGCACATTTCTTATATTAATATGTTTAATAGTAAAACTTATTTTATTAATAGATTTTATTTTTTAAGGACAGTTTTAGACTTACAGAAAAAGTGAACAGTTAATACTGAGAATTCCTAGACAACCCTCCCTGTTCCATACCATCTAGTTTCCCTATTATTAATATCTTAAATTAATATGGAATGTTTGTGATGATTAATGACCTGCAAATCAGTGTAACCATTATGGAAGTGGTATGGAGATTCCTCAGGAAACTTGTAATAGAACCACCATTTGACCCAGCGATCCCACTCCTCGGTTTATACTCAAAGGACTTAAAATCAACATACCACAGTGACACAGCCACATCAGTGTTTATATCAGCTCAACTCACAATAGCTAAATTATGGAACCAACCCTGGTGCCCTTCAACAGATGGATTGTTAAAGAAAACGTGGTACATATACACAATGGAATATTAGTCAGTTTTAAAGAAGAATAAAATTATGGCATTTGCCAATAAATGGATGGAGCTGGAGAATATCATGTTAAACAAAATAAGCCAATCCCCAAAAGCCAAAGGCTGAATGTTCTCTCTGATATGCAGATGCTAATTCACAGTAAGGGCAGGGGCTAGGGAAGCATAGAGTTATTTTGGGTTAGGTAGAGAGGAGTAAAAAGAGGGGAGAGGAGTATAGAGACAGGAAGGATAGTAGAATGAATCAGACATTATTACCTTATGTATATTGTGATTCTACATAATGTACAGAGAATGAGCAATTATATTCCATTTATGTATGATGTGTCAAAGTGCATTCTACTGCCATGTATAATTAATTAGAACAAATAAAAATATAGAATTTTTGTGATAATTAATGACCAATATTGTTTGCATCATCATTATTACCTAAGGCCAAAATTCATTCAGAACTCCTCAGTTGTTGCCTAATGTCCTTTTCTGTTCCAAGATCCTATCCAGGATACTTATTGCATTTAATTGTGTTATCTCCATAGTCTCCCTTGGCTGCGACAGTTTCTCAGGCTTTTCTGTTTCTGATGAACTTGAGAGTTTGAGAAACACTAACCAGATACATTGTAGGGGCCCTCTCTGTTGAAATTTGTCTTTGGCACATTTTAAGACATCTGAAAGTGTTGATTACTGTTATTGCTTAGTTTTCAGATTAAAATGTGAAACAGAAGTGTAATGTGGGTGGTGGAAAGTTTTGTTGAAGATTCATTATTGAAAAGAAATATTGATTTTTTTTAAAGCTTGGTCAGTTTATCAGTGCTGAAAGAACTGTTTGGATAAAATTCGGCTTGCCCACATCCAACCTTCCATCTGTCTATTCAATTCAGTAAATATTTGCCACGTCCCTATTATGAAGGTAGAAGATATTGGATGCTGGGAATTCACTGACAAACAAAACATTTGTCCTCATGGAACTTCAAGTCAAGTAGGCAGACAGTTAATAAACAACTAGAGAAATAAAAAATATGAAAGATAATTTGTAAGAAGTACAGAAAATGAAATATCCTTATATTAAAGAATATATCAGGGGCTGGGGATGTGGCTCAAGTGGTAACGCGCTTGCCTGGCATGCGCAGGGCACTGGGTTCGATCCTCAGCACCACATAAAATAAAAATAAAGATTTTGGGCTGGGGATGTGGCTCAAGCGGTAGCGCGCTCACCTGGCATGCGTGCGGCCCGGGTTCGATTCTCAGCACCACATACAAACAAAGATGTTGTGTCCGCCAAATACTAAAAAATAAAATGTTAAAAAAAAAAATAAGCTTCACTTGCACTTGGGGTGAGGAGAACATCAGTTAAAAAAAAAAAAAAAAAGAATATATCAGTAGGTGCGAGAAAGGGAAACTAAGATCTTTTATTAGTTAGATGCTAATCTTTTTTGTTGTTGTTTTCTTTTTACTTATATACATTCTACATGACAGTACATATCATTCATACATGGAGTATAACTTCCCATTCTTGTGGTTGTACATGATTCAGAGTTACACTGGTAGTGTATTCATACATGAACATATGTCTGATTCATTCTACTGAGTTAGATTCGAATTTTAACTCTGAGAGATAAAATAATTAAAATAAGGAACTTAAACAAGATAGATATTTTCATGTTCAACATGTCAGGGAGTTAGCCCAGGGCTAATATGGAAGTTTTGTAGTGTCAATATCCCAGGCTCCTTCCATCTTGTTGCTCTGCATGGATTCTCTCAGGATCAGCTCATAGCCTAAGACAGCTTCTAGAGCTCCAGCAGTCACAACTGAATTCCAGCCAGCATGAAATTAAGAGGGACAAAGACCTCCTCCCTTTTCCCTGTCTGCTTACTTCTTGAATGCCAGAACTCAGTCAAAATGGCCTCACCCAGACCCCTTAGTTTTTACTCAGGTGGGCATGTATATCAACTAAATATCAGCAGTTTTGTTGCTATAGAACAGTGGTTCTAAAACTATAGCAAGTCATCTGTAGGACTTGTTGACATACAGATTGCTGGGCTCCACGCCTAGTTTCTCATTTAGTATAGGGGACAAGAATTTGCATTTTTAAGGAATTCCCATGTGCTGCTGATAATGCTCATCCAAGACTACATTTGGAGACTCATTGCCATGAGCCTAGATACTGGGGCAGAAGTCTTTGATGCAGACTGTCATTTGGTCTTTGATCATTTACATTACTGAATTGAGATGAGGCTTAATGAGGTCAAGTATCTCATCTTTGATGTATAAGTTCTGGGTAGCTAAACACAATTTAGTCATTTTGGTATTAGGTCCCTGTTTTGGTTATCTTATGGTTACATAATAAACTTCTCCAAAGCCCAGAGGCTTAAGTAGTTATTTGCTTATGCTTCTGTGGATCTGCAATGTGAGCAGGACTTAGTGGAGAAGGTGTGCCTGTGCTGGAGCAGGCAGGTCCAACATGGTCTCCTCACATGCTTGGGCTGTTAAGAGCGGGCACTTTGGTCTGCTCTTTGAAACTCTCTCTGGCAGAATAGCCTGGACTTCCTTACACAGAAGCTCCAATATATCAAAATGGAAATTCAAAGTCTTCTTGAGGCCCAAGCCTACCAGTCATTCTGAGTTCATCTTGCCAGATTCTATTGGTCAAAACAAGTCATGAAGCCAGCCCAGATTCAAGCAGAGGGGAGACCATGGTCACCTATTTATGGGAGGAGTGGCAAAAACACATGGAAAAAAAGCATGTAGTTGAGAGGAATTACTGCAGCTGTCTGCATGGTCCACCACAGACAGGAACTGGAATGCCAATATTATTATCATACAGACACAGACTTGTTATTCACTGGGGTTTATCTCTATCAGGACCAGAGTGTAATTTGGAGAAAACACTTCCCATAGAAAAAAAAGATAGAAAAAAAAGTGTGGCCAGATCAAATGAGGTTTTAGAAAGTTTTTTTGGTTATTGAAAAATCTTTCCTATGCCTTCATTGATATGAAAATTCAAAAATGAGGATTGAGAACAAATTCTGGAAATAAGCTCATAAATAACTTCCTGTTAGCCTTCTTTAAATACATGGCTATTTTGATTGAAAGATGGGGATTTCAACTTTTGAAAGCCAATATTTAAAAAATAATGTCATCCTACCCAGAGAATGTGATTGCCACTGTGAAAGAGGTCAAATTTATAGTATATTTTTATATGAGGTATTGGTTAGGATGTGGACAGAGACTCCTCTTCCCACCCCCACCCCATGGCATTTCTACACACGCTTGAGATTTCAGAATGCAGGAGTGAGTCACTGATTGTTTTGAGCATTGCTCACTTTCACTGCACTCTAACACAGAAAGTACTTCTGGGAAGGACAGGACAGGAAATAAGTAGCACTACAGTATGAATAATTTAGAACACTCCTCTGTGGAAGAATTCCGAGAGTCCCAGAAGCCTTTGGAGGAAGGGGATGCCGAGAGGCAGGCAGTGCATGGGGAGATGGACTGGTAAGGGCTGAGATATGGCTCAGTGATAGAGTGCTCGCCTAGCATGTGCCAGGTCTGGGGTTCCATCCCCAGCACCCCTCCCCTCCCTGCAAGAAAGACTTCTAAGTTACAAGTCCTGAGCCCAAGTTTCTCTGTCTTACAGGCTGCTGCTTAGGAGATGCGAATTAGGCTTATGTGATGCTAAAACAACCAATTCTATATCCTCTGTTCATTTTGGATAGAACCTTTTGTTCCCATCATATGATAGTTTTTCTCTCTTTGTGGTTTTCCTCCTAAGCAATTTTCTACACAAAGTCTTTCTTTACTTTTAATATCCTATCTCTAGTAATGGGCTTTGAGGCTTTTCTCCTGTAATGTCTTTAAGCTTTTTTGATTTTGCTTTGGAATGAAATAACTCTTTCAGTCCTCAGCCCTGGCACTCAATGGGACCTCTGAAGTTGCTGGTCCACTGTGGGAAAATTCCAGCCTGGGCAGAGGCTGTGTTGTTTGTTCACCAGGTGTCAGACAGATCACAGAGCGGGGCTGCTCACAGCCTGCGCTTTCTGGTTTGAATAGCAAGCTTATTTACTTCTTTGACTTTTTTAAAGGGTGCCCAGTCCCTCTTTTTAATTTATGCCTTTACCCGGTGAAAACCAAATTCAACCCCAAATTGTCACATTCGAGGAAGTTGCTTTTGTCTGAGGAGCTGATAGAGCACTAGGCCGTGATTTTATTATTTCCCCAGAAAGCAAGAGCCTGTTCTGTGGTTCGAATGAAAAGCTCTGTGACTAACAGGATTCTTTATTCTTTCCTTTCTTTTTTGGATTACATTTCTCTCCTCCGCTGCCAGGTCACTTCATGACGGCTCTCCGGCTGAAGTGATTTATCACATAGAATGAAGAAGTGGGAATCGTCTGGTTTCCTTTTCCCCGCTCGCTAAAGGCGGCGGGGCTTCTATTCCTGCCATCAGGGCAGGCAGACAGCCCATTGCTTCGGTTGTGTGAGCTGAGGGAAGGAAACTTGACTCATAACTACTGTGGTTCTGGAGAAGTCCCCCGGCATGTTGGGCAGCGAGCCAGTGGGTGCAGTCTGCCTTCTGGTACTCCCGCCTCAAGCAAGGGCTTTGGAAGGCAGGGCTTAGTTTTGTAGCCAAACTAGAGATGGAGGTCCTTCTGCAGTAGTCATGGGGATCTACTCAATATGGATTTTATAGTTAGCCGAAAAGTAAACTGGAACTTGAGCAGACCGGGCATTTTGCCTCTTTCAAGACTCTGCCTGTGTTTCCTCCTCCTCCTCCTCCCAGCTGGTTGGCAGGATCCCTGGGGATACCTACAGGCTGTTGAGAACTTCTCAGGATTGGACACTCCTTAGTCATAGATGAGCACGTTTTTGAAAAGATGTGGCAGTTTGACAAATCCAATTAGTAGCTTACTGTCAAAACAATAGCTGAAAGAGCAGGTGATAAAGCATCTCTAGACTTGACAGCTTTAGAGGTCCATCTGCAGAATAGGTGAGCCATAGACAATGAATGGGGAGAGTGCAAATTTGCTAATACATCAACAAGTAGAGAACAAATGTCAGTGCAATTCCTGGTATCCTCTTGGAGAAAACTCTGCTTAGGAGTTCTCTGACTTCCAGGCTCTGTGCATCAGCTCCATTTATATGCCTAGAAGAGCCCCAGTTTCTAAGCTGGTCATATCAAGTAGGAGTCTGTCAGCATACTAGGAAAGTATAAACTGGAAGAAAGAAGCCATGCTGGGGATTTGAAACAAGAGGGTAGTGAATGCAGAGAACTGGTTATATAGGAGCTAGAAGAACTGAGAAACCAAACAATGGCTGGTGAAATCATCCAAAGCATAACAACAGCAGGAAGCTACAGCTTCTAAACTGGAGGTCAATGGAGGGAGGCACTCTTATTAAAGAGGAGGAGGCACTAGGGTCAGCTGGAGGAAAACTACTGTCTTTGGGTAGCTAAAGCTGGGGAGATACTGATATAGTATCCTGGAGAGGAAGAGGGCTCTCAAGGTTCTGTTTCTGGGATCCAGAACAGAGCAGGAACATGCAAGGACAGGCTCCTGTGGGGAGCATCATGCAGTGTGTGTATATGGAAGGGAGCTCAGGATCAAGTCTTATTGGGTGTGAACTTAGTGTCTACTGTTGTGGGGGTGACTCCTGGCTAGCATGAAATCTACAGTGGCAGCACCTCCAGCCATCACATGATCTGGTACAGTTAAGAGTTCCATGTAATACCACATTCTTATAGGAACATGGGTCACATGGGTGTATATGCCTTTATTGAAAACTTGTTGAACCATCATATTTAAATTGTACCTTAATAAAATGTATGTTAGCATAAACATACAAGAGTGTTATGCTCCAGCGTCATACTGTGTTTGTTACTTATAAACTATTACGAACTGAACTGTCTCCTTCAAATTCATTTGTTGAACCCCAGCCCCCAGCATGACTGTATTTGGAAATAGTGCCTTTAAGAAGGTAATAATGGTAAACTGAGGTAATAAGGGTAGAGTCCTATGTTAGTAAGCTTTTTGCTGCTATGACAGAGTAGCTGAGAAAAACAGTTTAAATGAGAAAAAATTTGTTTTAGTTTATGGTTTCCATCCATGGTTGGCTGGCTCCATTGGTATGGGCCTGTGGTGAGGCAGAACATCATGATAGAGAGGGTTTGGTAGAGCAGATCTGCTTACCTCATGGTGGCAGAGACGGAATGAGGGGGAAGGAACAAAATACAGTCCCCAAGAGTACATCCCTAAGGACCCACTCCCTTCAACTAGGTCTCATCTCCCACAGTTTCCATCAATTCCCAATAATGCCATCAAATGGATTAATAAGGTCAGAGCCCTCATGATCCAATCACTCCCCAAACCCTACCTCTGAATACTGTTGTCATTGGGGACCAAGCCTTGAACACATGAGACTTTGAAGTGCATTCTAGATCCAAAGTATACTGGGCCCTAATCTGATAGGACAGGGTGTCCTTATAAAAAGAGGAAGAGAAACCAGAAATGTCTCTTTCTTCACAAGCACATAGTGAATAGGTCATGTAAGGACTCAGCAAGATGGTGGCCATCTGCAAGCGAGAAAGACTTCATCAGAGACTAACCATGTTGGCACCTTGATCTTAAATTTGAGCTTCCAAAACTGAAGAAAATAAATTTTTGTTGTTTAAGCCACCTCGTTTGTGGCATTTGAGTTATGGCAGCTGGAACAGACTAATCCACAAGCTATATGACCAAAAAAATCATGTATTTTTGTCACCTTCATTTATTAATCTCAAGAACAGAAATGATGAAAGTTCCCTTCCTGCAGGATTTTTGGAAGAATTAAGTGTAATATGAATTTAAAGTCCATAACATATAGTATGACATGTAGCCTTGTTATTTATAACCTTCAATTTTTGCTTTAGTATCCCTGCTCAGAATTCAGGGTCTTACTTTCAGTTAGATTACTGTCTCCTAAGTTCCCAGCCTTGCACAGGATCTCCCTAGACCTCTCCCTTGGATTCTGCTTTTGACAACCTCTGGCCACCATTTAAGGTCTTCCTGGTGTCACTCAGAATTGTTATTTGCTTTACTTTTAGTTGTCTCTACTCCATTTGGTAATGTCATCTCCACCCTGAGAATATCATGTTGTTACAAGTAGGTGCTTTGGTCCATCCACCTAGTGGCCCATGTCTGAGCCAACATTTGAATCCATTTCCCATAATCCCATCCCTTCCAGTCCTGGCTCCATCCCACAGCATGTGTGCTGAGGTTGGTTGGTCCAGCACATGTCCCTCCTTCTGTAGCAATTAGGCTTCTTACACAGGCTCATTGACTTATGGCAGCTCCCAATTTTCTGTCCATAAATGCATTGGGCTAGAAAGAGATATAGATGAGCTTGCTTTGAAGCTGCATTTTGTAGGGCAAGCATTCCCTTTTAGGATGTGTTATTGAAACTTGGGTTGTGGGCTTATTTGGGTTGGATTTTGGGGAAAATTATATGTGCTCATGTGAGGGGCCATGGTCACAGGCCAATCAGATACCGTCTCCTGACATCAGTCCTTCTCTTGGCACATTGTTACTGGTTTCATGCAGGCATTGGGATCTATGGTTGTCTATCTGAATTTTGTTAGGTGGGTTGCAAACAGTGGTCATCAGGTTTACAGTGACTCCTTTTGCGTACTAGTTTTCTATTGTTGTAATTACAGAATGATGCTACCTGGTTATAACAAGTTAAATATTGAGAAGTTTATAAAGTACAAGGGATATATATGTCTTTCTTACTCTCCTTTGTTCTGACTCTTCTCCAGAAATTACTATTGGTGATTGTGTTCAGTTCATCCGTTCAGATTTTTTCCTATGCTTAGATGAATAGACACTTTCACACATGAACCTACTTTTTTCTCTCCACTATTATTAAAAAGAGAGTGAGTGAGGGAGAGAGAATGGCTCATATTTCAATTAGGACTGTTGTTTGCAAGTAATAGAAACCCTATGAGAAATATCTAAAGCAAATAGAGGAATTCCCTGTTAAGAGAATTTAAACCACAGGCTTCACTCTTTTCTCTTGTTTCTGCCTCTCTCGAATCAGCATATTCCACAAGCAGGAACTATGGTCACCAGAAGCTGTCTGGCTCATAGCTTTGGGTTTCCCCCTGTAGAGGGCTGGTCCTTCTGCCTTTAGTTCTAAATGAATTGTTTCTAAGAAGGACTTTGATTGGCCTGTTGTATTGTTTACACTACTTTTGATTAGAAGCAACTGAAAACCCAATTTGGAGTGGCTTAAACAATAGGAACTCATTCTTTTCACAGATCAAGGTGTCTAGAGTTAAGTGGTTGCTTGTGATCCAATGCTGCCATTATGGATCAACTTTTCTGTAGTTCTCTAAGTCATGCCCCCATGTTTGCAATGGATAAGGTAGCTGTAAACATCATGTCTTCACTTGAACAATGGCTTCTGTAAGCTCTCTCAAAAGCAAAGCCTGAGGCAAAGGCTTGTATATAGTGAGGTGGGTAGGTGATTGCAGGGTGCAGGATCAGGGACCAGGGGAAAGAAGCAGGGAAAGAGGGCCAGTTAATGAGAGGAGTGACTGTGCTAGGGATGACTGGCACTCAGTCCTGCTAGGACCTCCAAAGAGACTCTATGAAATGTATTTTAGAATCATTATCCTGGGGAATCCAAGATTCTCCATCCCTTCTGTCCCCAGTTAGACAATATGACAATGAACACAGCTTCCTTCAGTATCTACATATATACAGCACATACAGTTCATAGCTACATCATATTTCACTATACAGATGAGTTACCCTTTGGCCATTCTCCTATTAATGGACATTTAAGTCACAGTCCAAGTTTTATCTCAAGTTGCCATAAGCATTGAAAGGGGCATGGCTTTGGTTAGGGTTTTGATTCTAAGACCAAGGGACCCCGCTTTTATTCTATTTCAAAAATTGGCACATTTAAAAATATAGAAAATTTTATCTTGCCAAAATACAATTATCTCATACTAACCTATTCAGAACGAAAATAGAAAAGAGGTAAAAATAGCTTCTAAGTAGCCAAATAGATGACAGAGCCAGGAATTCCAGATGGAGTTGGCAGTTCTGTGTGCAATGTCACTCTGGCTTTGTCTTAAACCTCATACTCTTCATTTGTGAAAGAGAGCTTTATTAGGATCCCATTTAACCTCATTTTATTTAAAATTCTAACTGGATTGGTATCCTAGTAACTATTTCCACAGCAAAGGAGAAGAGAAGGAAGCCACACTGGAAAAACCAAAATAAAAAAGTGACCACAGATAGAAAAAAGAGGAGGCAAAAGACAAACAAACAATGCAACATCAAAAACCTTTTTAAAAATGTCATGCACATGCAAAAGAAGATTGGTGTTCTATCTACTCCATGGGAACAGTAAAAAACTAGGGTTCACAGTCAGAAAGAATCGTTAAAATTGCTTCCACAGTGCTCTTTTAGGCAAGGAAATGAATAATTTATTTTAGGCTATTATATCTTTTCATGCCATATTGACTCAGTATAGTTCTTCTTTTTGTGTAATATATTTTAGGGAGATTTTTCAGAAGTTTGGTTTAAAAAGATGAAAAAATAAAGTTGATTCTCAAAGCTCTGGGGAACTTCACTCTCCAAATAACCCTTTTCTACAGAGTTTTAGCAAGAAATTTCCTCCAGTGGGAGGGATCCAAAGCCACTGATCTTGGGCATTATTAAAGCTTCTTTGAGTCTCAGTTTCCTCTTCCGTAAAATGGGAGTAACAATAGTGACCATCTCATGGGGTCATAGTGGGGATTCACGTGTCATTCTATATAAATTGGTCAATAAATATGGTTGTGACTATTGGTGGTGATGATGCTTATGATGTTTTAAAACTGAAGATATTTTGGAGTCTAGAGCTGGCACCAAGGAGCAGTTCGGCCTCTTCCTGTGTGTCTTTAAGCAACTCATCCTCTCTTATCTTCAGATTTCTTGTGTACAAATGAGAATAATTATAGTTAACTAGTAGGTTTGTCAGGAGGGTTGAACCAGATAGTTTTACAAGTAGTATGTAGCACAGAGATGGCACACAGAGCATAATAGCTATTATTATGAAAAGCAAAAATTGGAAAACCACTCTTTAGTTTACTTACATGCCACAAATATAATCCCAAATAATATTGTCCATTTCCATGTTCTTTTTCTCACTTCTGTGCCTTAAGCATTGTTAATATTATTTTTTGAATTATAGGCAAATTCTGAAACCAAGAATTCCAATATGATAGCCAATACTTTTGTGTTTCTATTTTTTAATGCCTAGATTTCAGGGGGTTTCAGATCTGGAAACTTGAAAATCATTTTGTTGCTGTTATACAGATTTTTTTTTGCCCATATTAAATTTTAATTCCGAGTCTGTTTTTGCTTTTCCTTTATTTCTACCTTTTTCCCTCCCCTCACAACTTCCTTCTGATACTCCTGTCTTTGTTTTCTTCCTCTTAATAATCAGGTTGCCTTCAAACTGTTTCAGAAAACTCCATGGCATGACGGACTAGATCTATTTTGTGGAACAGCAATTCTGAGAATGCCATATCAAAGCTAGCACCTACCTTTTGGCTTCCATGAACCCGAGTAAGTGATGATCTGCTCCATGAAGGCTGCCATTGCTCCAGTTATTGCTTTCACTTTCATTTCTGCCTAAATGTTCCAGTCTCCAAATGCACTGAATATTAATTTCAGGTTGCAATCATTTTATCCTTTTAAACTCACATTTCTTTCTTAAATGCAACTGTAAACTTGTAGTTTAGATTTTGTTTTGCTTGTTAAGTCCTTAAAGATGATGCTGAACAATTAAAATCCAATTTAGACTGGCAAAATACTTCAATAATATAAAATGGTATTGTTTTATGGTCAAGTCCTGACCATACAGAGAAGTTGTTTCAGGGAAAACAAACAATTTTTGCTTGGATTCCAAGACTATTTTATTTGGTATTGAGGGAGATTGAATTATCTAGATTGTCTCCAATAAAGAGGATTCTCACTTTCTGAAAATATTAAAGCACATGAACTCTTGAATATATTATTAACAATTTATTTGTAGAGAATAAAGATACAAATGCATATTACCAGTTAGTGCATGGTGCTTATTATTTCTTCTCTGAAGAATGGGGAAGGTCATTGTGAGGTTTGGGGAGGTTAGGGAGAGAATCACTTGTTCAGGCATGTTTAATAAGGCTCTGGGAAGGGCAAGAATGGGAGAAGGGAGTCCCATGAACTTGCAGCTGGGAGAGATTTGTGGTCCACCCCTTGTCTTTTCTAGGGAGCAGGGGCACAGTTTTGCATATCCATTTTCAGGGAATGAGATGGCATAATGGCTAAGAGCACAGGGTCTTCAGGCAGACAAAGCTGGCTTCAAGAGCCAGCTCTATCATTTGCCAGTTGTATGAACTTTCATAAATAATTTCACTGAGCATTGGTTTCTTCATCTGTTAGATAGGGACAATAATGATACCTTTCTTTCAGGGTTCCACTGAAGATCAAGGGAGAGAATATTTGGCACAAGGCCAGGCACAAGTTACACTAAATAAATGTTTAGTATTGTTATGATTCTTTTAGTATTATATTGCTTTATTATTATTATCATCAAATTTTATAATTTAATAATGTAGTTTAGTTGAAGAATAAGAATTTTATTTCTTCCTCCAAGTAGTCATGTGATCCTTGACTTTACCCTCCACCTTAAGATGGGATGGGCTTAGTTTCTCTTATGCATTTTTTTCATCCTATTTGCTGGAATTTAAGGAGAATAAACCTTTCTGTTCCATTCCAATCCCAATCTTTTTTCTCATCCACTTAAATGCAATAAAACTCTGCTTGAGGTAGATTTCATCAGCCATATGACAGCAGAGAAAAGTGGTTGCTTGCTCTTTCCATTTGAAATGTGGATGTGGGCACAGTGGAATCCTGTTGGAAGAGATAGTGTTCTAGAACTCTCAGGAGCCTGACTTCTTAGGTTTGAAGGACTCGGTGCTCCGAGTCTTTGTAGGGGTGATTTTTGTTTTGAAGCCTTGGGTGTTTGATAGGCTGATTTGGTCTGGTGACTGGGGACTCCCAGATGTCTGTGTGACTTGCTGGGTGCTTTTTCCTCCGTGGTTACCCAGACTGCTAGAAGGTGAAAGGAACACTATGTCAGTCCTTTTTGGCCTTTGTCAGCTGCAAGGAAGCAGAGAGAAGTGAATGTCAGCCTCTGGCTGACACTGAGAGGTAAGGAGGAAACAGAAGCTTGCCAACAAACCTGGGCAAGGTCAGTACTGGAGCTGCAGGGTTGAAATCAGAGTGTGTCTGTGATCTTTCTGGCTCAAATGATCTGTTATTGTGCCTGCACTTCAATAATCCAAGTTTGTGAATGTTATCTTTAATTTACAGAGTTCTTTCTTATATACCAACTAGTATGGTCCTCATAGTGTTACCGCTATTGATCGGTGACGAGTTCTTGCTTCCCCAATGTTGAAGAATAACACCAAAGAAGCAGGCCGAGGCAAGGTCAGAGTAAAAATTAGAAGTTTATTAAAGGACAGCAGAAAAGACTTCTCCCGGAGGAAGAAGGGGACCCAAGAGGTGGAATCCGTGGAAGGGATGTTGTCTCCCCTTTTTATAGTTCTTTCAGTGATGGAATGTAGGTGGGAAGGCCCGAGGGGTGGGACACAGGTGGGCCAAAGAAGTAATCTGGTCAGGAAGGACTTCTGAGTCAGCACCTTTTTGCTGGGGGCTGTTCATTAACATTTCTTTGAGGTGGACTTTGGCCTAGGGCCTTTTCGGGACTTCATTAACATTCCATGAGTTGTCCTGCGTTTCCCGGAATCATTGCCAGCATGGCCTCCATTTTAGATTTCACTCGGCATTAGACCCGATTTATCTAACTACACTGACTACCTAACTTTAAATCTGGCTTCAATAGCAGCCTCATCCGGGAGGCCAGGGGCAGTCTCAGCCTATTTTACAGAGAAGAAAATGGAAGCTTTCTTTCATAGATTTTCCTAGGCCACGGGGATGTGTGAACTAGGACGTATTTCCTGACTCCAGGTTCCACTGTTCAGAGTGTTTTGGGCTCTGCTGAACTTTCCTAGGTAAAGACAGTGCTATGGCTTGTGGCCTAGTGAGAGAATCTCTAGGTGCTGAATTACTTCTGCTATTCTGCATGCATTTCTAAAATTCCTTTAGTTTGGATTAATCAACTAGAGGTTGGTACCTCCCTAAGCCCTCTCTTACAAATGCAAAGAAACCTTAGAAGAGTAGGTCAATTGTAAATGGTAACTCAATTAACATCCCTCTTGGAAACCAGATAAGATCAAGGTAGTTAGGGATGTAGTGTTTGTGGCAGATTGGGAGAGGAAACCTCTGGAATTTAATGTGCTGTCTGAGAAGGTAGGGCCTGGGAGGGTATACTGTTTTTTTTTCTTGCTGTGTTAAAAATTTCCACAGAGTCAGTTGCTAAAAAAAAAAAAAAAACACATTATCTCTGTTTCCATGGATCAGGAGTCTGGGTACATGTTATCTGCTTTCTCTGCTCAGGGTCTCATAAAACTGCAGTCAGAATCCTGGCTCTACTGTGTTCCTTTCTGGAACTGGAAATCCTTTTCCAAGCTCACATGGTTATTAGCAGAATTCAGTTCCTTGTGGTTGATGGACTGAGTTCCTCAGCAACTAGATGCCAATTGCAGCTCCCCACCACGTTGTTCTATGGCCATAGGCAGATCACAGCAAAGCAACCAGCTTTTTCAAGGCCAGGTGCCCCTTCTCTCTAGTTCCTGAGATGGAATTGTGTCTTGTGTAATATAATTGTGGAGGTGACATTTTGAGACTTCATCTGGAAATCCAGACCATTAGGAAAAGCTGGGCTTTCATTCTAATTGGAAAGCAGCTAATGGGAACTGAGTAGTGGCTGCCCCCTTGGACCAGGAAGGTTTCTTTAGTTTTTAAAAATCCTTGTCTTCCACTGATGCCTTATATGCATTCCTACCTGACTTGCTTTAATTGTTACTGTGCCCATTTGTCTATATCAGACATTTGAGTTTGGGACCCAAGATTACATTTTGGAAGAAATGGAGGAAATGTATGACCCTAGAAAATAGAATAAAAATGCTCTGATTGAGGAAACATGATGAGCTAAGGCAATTATGGCCCATATCCTCCCCTATATGTAATTATAATATACAAGAAGGTAGGATTGAAGAGAACTGAGTTCTAATACTCTCTCTGCACTCAAATGCAAATAATTGGCCCTGGAATTTATTTTCTCTGATCCTCAGTTTCTCAATTGGGATGCTTCCCCTCCCTGAGGTTCGGATTCAAATATGTTTGGGTTGGGGGCCTTGGAATCTGTAATTTTGACAAATTCCCAAGGTGATTCTTAGTGACCAGCAAACCTGGACGTTAACCAGCAGCTACCGATATAGACATAAGAACCAGCTCTTGGAGAAGGACAATAACAATTGGAGCTCATCTAAACAATCAAAAATTCAAGGGAATATTTCAGTTTTAGCAGGAATATTCTCAGGGAGAAAATATTATGAAGTTGAGAATCTGAAAACCTGAGTTAGAAACCAAACCATCTAGATTGGACTGTCACAGCAGGGTAGGTGAAGTGTGTATGTAGTACTCTGACCCCCTTACTACCACCATCACCTCCTTCCCAGTCACTAGCTCTTGGCTTCCTACAATTCATAAACAGGATGGTTAGGGTCATTCAGGTTCTGAGCAGGCCGTAGCTGCAGGTAAGCTCAATGAAGGGGCTGACAGCTTGTGTCTTATATCTCAAAGCAATTTGTAAGTTGCTGATGGAGTAGGACTATCCTTATACTCGAGTATAATGCAGTTAGTGCTGATTGACTAGGTGAATCAGAAAGAAGTGAGCATTCACTGTCATTATGAACACTTGCCCAGGTTTGGTGCTTGGTGCCACTTGCATGTACTCTCTCACTCTCAGCCTCCCCAGGAACATGGCCAGAAACCTTCCTGACTCCTGGCATGCTCTACTGAGCTGAGAGCCATCTTTGGAGAACTGATAGTTAATGAGGGGCCTGATGTGTAGAAAATATTTTATTTCCATGCAAAAGCAAATTAAATGCCTCCAATGTCTTGTTTTAAAATTAAAACTATCATTTTTCTTTGAGAAAAAGATCCTTTGGATTTCTGAATTTCAAATTCTGGAGCACATTTTTCTAATCAAGGGGAATTTCTAGTGACTTAGAAGTGCAGAAATCCTCACTGTAGGCAAACTTGAATTTTAACAGTACATTATCCTGTTTGAAAGTTAAAAAAAAAAATGGTATGTGGTCTAATAACGTATGATGATTTTTCATGATGGTTAAAAAAAACAAAATTTATCAATTAATAATCAACATTAATATTGCACAGTCTACTCTTGGTCAATCAGGCCTCAAGAAATCTCTAAAAATAAAAGGACATATCAGGCAAAGAAGGACACACAAGTTTTAGGAAGTAGGGCTTAGGGTAAGATGTTTCTTTCCCTACCAGGACACTTGCTGAAATACAGTTTGGCAATTAACTCACATATTTTTCGCCCTATATCTTTGTAATACACAACATTGGTTTGGTTTAATGACACAAGAAAGCATTGAAATATTTCAAAGCTGATAGTCCTGG